GAGACTGCCTGTTCTTCTTCATGGAGCAAGCTGGTGGAGTCAAATCACATGTGTTTGGGTTGGCAACACAATTCCTTGCTGTTATTGTTGTTCTGTGCTCTCAAGTCTGAACCAACCCATAGCTGATCCTCTAGCAGATTTTCAAGAGGCAGTAAATTGCAGGGGAAGAGATTGCCCATCTTTCTTTTGTGGAACAGCATGTGCCTTTGGGTTGACAGAGTCCTTACCACTGAGTCACCTGCTCCCTGCACATTACCCACTTGTTCTGTGCTTTCGAGTCAGAATTGACCCAGAGCTGACCCTCCAGCAGGTTTTCAGAAGCAATAAATCACACAGGAGGAGCTTGTCCATCTTTATTCTGTGGTGCAGCTGGTGGATTCAAACCATAGACCTTAGTGTTGGTAGCATAATTCCTTACTATCATTATACATTGTACTAAATTAGAATTTCTCCTTTCCATTTAAAATATGCATGCTCTTTGGACACATTATATAACTTGTTTAGAAACATTGCTGTCAGTTTATAGATAGAAGTTATACCTGTATATGGTGGTCTAGTGTCAAGAAGCAGTGCTGCAATCCCAAAGGCATGTGGTTTGAGTCCACCAGCTGCTCCATAGGAGAAGAATAGGCAGTCTCCTCCCATGCAGTTAAGTGTGGATGTATTGTATGCTGCTGGAGGGTCAGCTATGAGTCTGTTTGACTCTACAGTACACAAGAAGTTTTCTTAGCAGTGAGAATCTTTGTGCTCCTGATTGCCTTGCAAAGGTAGACCTGTTTAAAAGAATGTAAAGAGCCTTACATTATTATTATTATTTTGAACATTTTGTTGTGGTCTGGGGAGAAAGCGTCTCAATTAATTTTCCATTCAATATTAATTTTGCTTCTTGGCATACGTTTCAGTCCCCTTCAGTATAATAATAACCTCTTCCTTGCTTGGCCCTCCATTTCAGCTTTCTTTCCAGCTATTTCTGCCTTTTGATCCTTTGAGGGGCACATGCTCCCCTTTTAGACTTTTTGGTGGATTGAAGCCTTCCTGTTTGAGTGAATGGTGAATTCTGGAAGTGTCTAGAGAGTATTCCTCCCTAAGCTTGAATAGTTCTTGAGGGCCATAGTTTCAGAGGTTCCACCAGTCTTTCTTTTGATTGACTTATTTTACTCAGATTCACTTAGGAGGTATCACATATTCATTATTCTTTAACATCATGTCGTATTCCATTGTGTATACATACCAGGGCTTGTTTATCCATTTATGGATTTAAGGTATTTCAATTCTTTTGCTTTTGTGAATAATGCTACAAAGAATATGGATATGTATATATCTATTTCTATCACAGCTCTTATTTTTAGAAGATATGTTCCAAGTAGTGAAATTGTTGGATCCTGTGGTATCTCTGTAACTTCTTAAGGAAGCGCCAAACTGTTTCCCATAGTGGTTGTACCATTTCCATTCTCACCAGCAGTGTATAAAAGCTCTGATTTCCTAACAACCACACCAACATTCATTGTGTGTGTGTGTGTGTGTGTGTTAGTGCCATCATTGTCTTGGTGAGATGGTATCTCTCTAGTGGTTAATGATGAGAGCATTTCTTCAAGTGTTTATTGGCCACCACAATGTTGTCTTTGGTGAAGTGTCTGTTCATGTCTTCTTTTATTTTTTTTTTAGTTGGATTGTTGGTCTTTTGATTATTGAATTGTTAAAGTTATATCTAGATTACCGTGTATAAAGTTTTCTGCTGGGGAGTTCTAGTAGAGTAAGCCGTAGGGAGTTGAGTTGCTAACCCAAAGGTAGTCAGTCTCTCTCTAGCAGTTCAAACCTAGCTGCTGCTCCTCTGGTTAAAGATGGTCAGGCTCCTCCTGGAAGATTTACAACTTCCCAAAAACCCACTGGAGAGTCACCTAATGAATTGATTTGACTTGACAGCAATGAGTTGAGTTAAAGTTTTCTGTTATTTTTTTTAATCTCTATAGTTTTAGATTTTATATACAGCTCATTTCTTCTGTCTTGAGCTCGATTTTGCATATGGTGTGAACTGTGGATTCTCTTTTATTTTTCTGTAAATGGATAGCTGGTGTTACCAGCACCATATAGTAAAGAGCTGCAAAAGATTTTTTAACTTAACTTCATGAAGTATATTGGTCTTTAATTTTTCTTGGTACCTTTAATGATACCTTTGCTATACTTTGGTATCACAGCCGTTCATGCTTAATAGATAAATTCTGAAGTCTTCCATCCTTTTCTGTGTTTTGGAATAGTTTGAGTAGAATTGGTACCGCCTTTTTGAATATATGGGAAGATTCTTCAGTGGAATTATCTGAACAGGGCTTTGTTTTCTTGGGATTTTTTTCTTTTTCTTTAAAGTCACCTTTTCGATTTCTTTTTTTTTTTTTTTGCTTTGGGTCTGTTAAATTTTTCTCCCTTTTTCTGTATTAATTTAGGTGGCTTCTGTGTTTCTAGAATTTGTATGTGTTGCAGCATAGTTCTTCATAATATTGTTATGATCCTTCTTATTTTATTGTAACATCTCCCATGTTAGTTTGTTTGTCATGTTATTTGCATCTTCTCCTTTTCCTTTGTTTAATTTGTCAGTGGTTTGCTCCTTTTTTTAAAACCTTTAAAGAACTAACTTCTAGACCTGTTGATTATATTGTTTTTCTGCACCTTCTGTTATTTGTGGTCTGTATTATTTCCTTCTGGTGATTTTAGGATTTTTTTAACCCCTACCTTTTTTCTTCATTGTTAGAATTATGTTAAAGTATTGTTATTTTTTTTTTTTTTGCTTTATGATGTGTATATTTTATAATATTACAGGTGTAAAGTGATCATGAGCACTGTTTTTGTTGTTTCTCTGATGTTTGGTATGCTTTGTTTTAATTTTTCTTTGATTGTAGGTATTTTATTACTTTTTTGCCTGTTGCCCAACATTTTTAAGCATGATTCTATTCAGTTTTTATGTTTGTTGTTTCTTCATTTTTCCTCCACTTACTGAATTCTCATCTTTGAGGATTGTCATCTGAGAAGAGGCTTTGCTCTATTTATTGTTTTTGTTTTTAAACGTGTTGAGACTTGCTTTACAATGTGGTCTGTTCTGGAGGATGAACCATGTATATGGAACAAGACTATATACCTGTGTTCCGTATGTTGTGTGCTCTACAGAGATTTTTGAAGGCTGGTTGGTTGACAGTGTTCAGATCCTTTTGTATCCTAGTTGAATTTCTTTCCAGTTTCCCTTTCTTTTATTAAAGGTGATATGTTGAAATTTTCTTCTTTTATTATGGAGTTGTTTCTCTTAAATTCTATTAAAGTTTGTTTTGATATATTTTAGAGCTTTTTCATTGAATGTTTAAATATTTATTATTATTATTATTATATTCTCTTGTTGGATCTTTATCATTATTTAATCTCTGTCTTATCCTTAAGGAGCTCTTGTTGCTTACTGTGTAACAACCATGGGCAGTCTGCCGTATTTTCCCTTATGTGTGTGTCTCTAACCCAAACAACAGAGGGCCATTGCTATGAGTAGTTCTATACCTTCTTACTCTCTCCTTCCCTACTTGTAGTTGCTTCTCTGGTGTTCTCATCGCTTTCTTGTGGCTTCCTTATTCTCTCCTTTCTTCACTCTAGATTTGTATACGTTGTTTCATATATGTTGGGGATTCTGTAGTTGTGCTATCCAGTGTTCAGTGAGGAATGCTACTTGTAGTATCTCAAAATGATCACACAGTCCCAGATCAGCTAGCCAGGCATCTGGTTGTTCCATATATATATATATATATATATATGCTTATTTTGTTCCATTTCTTTTATCTGTGTTTATTTAATTATTTCTAGCTTTCTCATTAGCTCTTGCATGTCTCCAGTTACCTTAACTGAAGACACATAGTCTTGCTAATCAACATAATCAACAATTGTGGTACTAGGAAAAGAGAGAGAATGCTTCCCACACTGAACAGCAAGATTTGACAGAGAATAAAGTGAGACCCTGGTGGTGATACTCAGGTGATGGTGGTCGAGAGACTGTGGTCTTGCAGTGGAGAAACTGGAAAGATGTGACAATGCTACTTGCATTTGTGCTGGACCACAGTTAAAGGTTTTGCTGTTTTTGCCAGATGCTTGAAGGAGAAGGTGACTTAAAACTGCTCTGAGGTAAACCTTACTGGATGATGGAGGGAACCAGAGGCTTCTTATATTTATGCCATTGAACTGAAACCAAAACTTTTACTAATTAAGGAATTGTGTTTTGCTTTTATTCTGGCTTGGGACTGCTGGACTAAACCTGGACTCATGTGAGATATTCTTTGCCTCTCCTACTCCTCAAGTTATTTCTCTAATAAGCCTCACTCCTGGTACCACAGCTGTGAATAAAGACTGTGAGTCAACAATGAGTATCAGACCCAAATGACAGAAATAGGAGCAGGAGCATTGGGGGCAGCGTGTCTCACCTAGCAGCTCTCTCTTTGCTGCTGTCAATATTATTGAGGGGGAAATTTCCTTTTATGAAATGATTAGAAGTCAGACTCCGCCATCCCCACATTGTATCGGCTCCTTTCACATCATCTTAATTGCTTTTACCTGGTTTCTTAAGTCCTTGTAGAATGTCTAGCTGGATCATCATTTTAGCTCAATCTCTACCCTCTCAAATCTTTTCAATCAGACTTTCCTTGTTAGTTTGTGTCATGAAATATATTATTGAATTTAACTAAAAACTTTAAATCTGTAAAATAATATCATAATGTTCTCAAATTATAAGCTGTGCTATTTTTATAATGTACTTGCCTGAGTTACACAGGGTTACATCTCAGATGCTTATCTGGGTTTGAGGACAGATGGATTCCATTTCCTATTGCCTGCTTATTAGGTTTGAATTTGAATTTTTACATGAACTTTGACACCTCTCTAGTTTAGCTGATTGCAGAAATGCTATTTATGCTTTTCTAAAAGCGTCAAAATGAATTGCAATAGAATTGTTAAGTTCTTCATTTTCTTTTATTCTCTTCCAGATTAAAGAGTCTATCGTTGGAGAAATTAGACGGGAAATTGTAAGTGGACTTTTGGCAGCAGTATCTTCAAGTAAAACATCTAATTCTAAGCCAGACAAATAAGTCATTAAATAGAAATTACAGGTAAACTTTTCTGAATTTATTTCTTTAGTGACATGTAAATTAGTACTTTTAATATGCTTTGTTTCTTAGTAGACTGTTTTCCTAGTTGTATTTTGATTTTTAGAATGTGTGTTATATGAAATCTTATCTGTGAAAAAGCCTAATACAATCCCATTTAAAGTATAAACAAGCTAAATCCTATATTACTATCCTCTAAATATTATTATCTTCTAAGGGATTATTTATTTGTGTTATTTTACTGACATTTTACTGCAGTAAATAATTGCTGAATTGACCCTTTACATATGAATCTTTTTTTAAAAAATAGCATTGGTTATAATGGCATTTCAGATAACATAGGTTTTGGAACATGATTTTGAAAATCACAGATTGATAGTATCTTATTTTTGCCCTTTAAGTAAACATCTCTCATGTGTTCCTATATGTTGTTAGGTGTTGTCACGTATGACTCATAGTGACCTATGAACAACCAATATAATTATTATTAAATGAATGAAAAGTTAATGTTATATCATATTATTATATACTGTATAGTATTTGTTCACAGTATTTGATAAATGCACAAAAACTATACACTGTATAGAAGAATTTTAAGTTTATAAAAATAAACATGTTTCAGTACTGTATAATATGGAAACAAAACTGCACTTTGAAACTATCTGTTGATAGGAAGATATTTGATAGGCTATAAAGATACTAAAAGCTTTTCTTTCAAAGCTGGACATAAAAAATTGTCTCTCAGTAAGATATATAGTGATCATAGAAGGATCAAGTTTAGATAGATAAAAATTCTCATCCTTTTTTAAAAAGAGCCTTTTAATTAAATGTAAAAATGTTTACTATCTTTTCTTTTTTAAGGTTAACATGGATCATTGTAGCAGTATAATACTGGACTTATCAATGTTATACACTGGTGGAGGTATTACTTGGGTTTCAGAAGATACTTGCTGCTGAGCTGGGCTACTGTATAAAAATGTACAATGTTTTTTTTCTTCTATGCATATATTTTAAAAATATGTAGAAACCTAGGCACTTTGCTGACTATTCTCTTCTAAACTATCAGAACTGTAGCAATTTGAAAACATAATATTTATTTGTATGTCAATATTTTCTAATGGATTTCCTGTGTAGAATTAATTTTAAAACTTGAAGACCTCCAAACGTAACCAATTTATAAATAACGTATTTCTTCAGAATAGCTTCTAAAACACTGACCTCTATGAGGTATTTACTGTGCAATAATACCTGATTCATTTTTTTTGAGAGCTTGAAGCAATCAATGATTTTTCCCTCCACTACTGTTAATTAGTCTCACTTCCAAGAAGACCTGTTCTGTTGTAAAAATTGCTGTTAATTCTTGAGGAGGTTACTAATAGCAGTAGGATAGAATTACATAAGGTTACCTATAACTACTTAATGTTTTTACACTGTAAGCCTTGTTACTTTACCCCAGACAATTGTAATTTTATCATTGCTTACATAATATTTGTCTTTTGAAATATGCCTTATGTTAAACACTATTACCTTCCCCCAACCCCTTGCCCATTCTTCTTTACTGTAAGGAGAGTTATCTTTCTTTCCTTTAGTCAAAATAGAATATTGCCAAAATCACAGGGCCTATGACTTGAATGAATAGAAATAATAAAGCTGATTTTTTGTCTTTTCAAGGTGGAAGTAATTTTTATTTGTTCTCCTCATCCATAAGTGGTTCTAATTCCGTTTTGATCAGTGAGAAATGTTGGGATTTTTTTTTTTAAAAAAAGGAAAAAAATGGTCTCTTTAAGTATATGTGTGCTAAATAAATGTGTAAAGTAACAATGAAATATTATTGGTATTATTCTTTCAGCATTTTTCTTTTTCAGTTTGTTTCTTTGTGTGCAGACTTTTAATCAAAAGCAGTTGAGAAGCTAACAGTGTTCTTTGAAAGAATATCTGAAAGATCTGTAAATGTTTAAAATATCACACAAAGGCTGATTTCTTAAAAAAATAATAAAACAATAAAGTATTTATTTTGCCTAATATGTTATCAGTGTTTTCTTGAACTACAACTTGAGGGAAGAATTTGCATTATATTTGATCAGGAACAAAATCTGAACAAATTACAGCATATGACAAAATAGACTTTTGGTCTCTTTTCCTTGAGAATGGTTCTTTGATGATTAAAAAAAAATGCAGTTAAGACTGGACCACCCTGTAGAGAAAGCACATTCTGATGACTCTTGGTCTCATCTAACTCTGTGGTCCTAATGATTACCATCTGAGACCACATACAACTCCTCTTTAAACTGTACTGTTAAAACTAAAAAAAAAATAAAAAATTAAGTATTCTTTGTTTAGATGACTCTGGAATTTAGTTGATTGTAATTGCAGTATGGTATGTATATAACAAGCAGTCCTGTCTTAATACAGCAAGTGTTTAACTTTTCAGTTTTGTTCATTATATGCTACCCAGAATTTGATCATCAAAGTTAGGAATTTAATAGTGAACAGCAACTAATAAAGTGAGCTAGTAGACAGATCAGAGATCAGTTACACAGCATACGCATGAAATAAAATGATCCTGAACACTATTAGAGTTTTACCCTCCCTCTCTTTACTTAGACTGTGTGCACTTAATACTTGAAAGCTATTATGTTCAAGCCACCATTCTAGCTGCCATGTAGAACAAAAAAAAGAGTTTAAAGCCTAGAAGGAGAAAGGAATCTTTTAAATTTATGTTGACTTGACATGTACCAAGTACAAAATAAAAATAATTTAAATAAAATAATTGTGCCTGTGCCTTAGGGAGTGGTAAGAGAAATTTTGAGACTACTTAAATAGTCTTCAAGTGGAAAATGGAAGAAGTGAGGTTCAAATAGGAAGAAAATGAACAAACAGTATCTGGAATGTGTATGTTGAGTTTGAATCGTGTGGTTACAATTAGGAGTTTTTGTAGGGGAATATAGTGAGAAGGTTGGAAATAGAGGTTGCCGTTCTATTTCAGTACACTTGAATGCTACATTAGAAATTTGTCCTTGGGTGGTACAAATGGCTGTGCTCCATTTCAAACCGAAAGATTGGCAATTTGAGCCCACCTAGTGTCCCTGTAGAGGGATGACAGTTGAAGAATTGATGCCTTAGAGCTGTGGTGTTGGAGAAGAGTAATATCCCATGGACTGCCAAAAGAACGAACAGCTCTGTCTTGGAGAACGTGCAGCCAGAATGCTCATTGGAAGCAAGGTATTTTGTGGGAGAGGCTATTCCTTAGGGATATCATGCGTGGAGGTGGGGGGTTGTTGAAAAAGAAGACACTCAATTGAAACAATGTCTGCAGCTGTGGGCTTAACCTATCATAGATGATGAGGATGGCACAGGATTGGATAGAGTTAGGATGTGTTGTTTATAAGGTTGCTATAGTGTACTCAACTCCATGGCACCTAACAACAAATGTCCATGTAGAAGCAAAGCCTAGCAATCTTAAAAAGATTAAACTGACTTCAAACAGCCGCCTTAATTCTGATTTGCTGGACTGTAAATCTTTATGGAAGGAGACTGTCCCTCTTTCTCCCAGCTGTTGATGTATTCATAGCACTGACCTTTGAGTTAGCAATGCAACCTTGTGGATCTCAGTTATGCCACATGAAATCATGAGTCAACTCAATGACAGCAATGAGTTTGAGGATTCTGGGGTTTATGTTTTTAATTTTGGCTAAATAATACATGGACTGACCATATTACATATAAGGATCATGCTTTTTTTAATCACAGAACTGACACAATGAAAACAATGGTTTTTTGTTTTCTTTTTTTTTTTTCTCATATGTGTACTGGTTTACTTAGAAAGTTTGTATACATTGTTTTTCACACCAGATCTTTCCCTGTTCCTTAACTCACCCCTCCACCCATCAAATTGTGCGACCCTGTGATTACCCCACCCCCTGCCCATTCGCATTCCTCTCACCCTCCTCCCATAAATCCTTATACACATTTTACTAGTTATCTATTTCTATAGTAATGATTTTGCACAGTATTAGTCCTTATAGGACTACTGAGTTAGTTCACTTAGTATAATGAAAGCAATGTTTTTATGACTATAACTTAGCCACTGTGCTAAGACATTGAACTGACAAAGCATTGATTTAAAATAATCTTGTGGTTTGGAGACTTTGAATGATAGTCTGATGATAAGAATGGACAGTTTCATGATTGAAGTAAATATTTCTTTTTGAGTATTGAGTTTAATTTCAGTAGCACTAAAAATATGTACCACATTTATGGGTATTTGTTCAAATGACCATCATTAGTTTTTTGACAGGGAAAGGAGAATGCATGTAAATGAGCACATAAAAAGTTATATACTGCCCATATTCCTCATTTATACAAAGGAGCCTGGCACTGGTGGGAGAATAAAATAAAACTGAAGCATAGGTTTTTCTTCCCCCCTCCCCCTTTCTGGAAAGGAGGATTTGGCAGCAGTTCTAAGAGAAGTTCTAAGAGGAAACACTTCACAAGCTTATAGTGAAAGCTGAAGATCTATACGTAAAGCTTTGTGATATATTAAGTATGCCTGATTATTAGAATTATTTATGATTATTAAAACATATAATAAGTACTTAATGTAATTGCATTCAAAATGTATAATGTTAAGATGCCCTATCTAATTAATAGCTCCTCTCCCATATAATTTTTGTGCATCTCGTCTTTATTTTTTATTTCACAACAGTTGCTCTGTTACTATGGAAAGCCAATCAGTTCACCTGTAAATGAGATGTATACTTGTTTTATGGTATGGAGAGGACAAAGTCTGGCTTCCACTACACAAGAGAGAAAATTCCCGCATCAAAAACCTCAGCAGCACTCATTCAAAGAACATGAGTCATCATCATTCAAAGCTGATGATTCTGAAGTCCAGCATGCCCCTAGCAAGTCTAACCATCAACCATTTCTCCTTTTTTATTGGTTTTCATACAATAACTTATTTACATTGTGTTTCATTCATA